ATGGAATGAAAAGTCTCCTTCTTGATTCATGGTTAGATGGAAAGACTTGGAATGCTGTAATCTCAAAAATCCCAATTATACTAGAAAATTTTCTAGACCAAATATTATCGTGAGAGCTATCTTCAGATTCAATAAGGGCTACCATTGTGAAAAATGCATCTCATTAATACTTGCAAGTTGCAACTGACAACAAATCCTAAGTTGTGTTTGACTTGGTACGTTTCCTCCCTGTTATGACATTAGATTTACCTTAATGCAATAGAATCAGGGGCAGTTTGAGAATTTTTTTTCCTTTGAGGTCACATATATAGTTATGCATATAAATTAGTAACTTATACTATACAAGTTCAATCTAATAAAAAGTTTATTTATACAATAATCACAAAGATCTCAATATGGATATTTTTCATTGTCATTTTCATATCAATACAAGATCAAGTTTTCATTTTTATAGCAAAAACTATCAAAATACTACTAAAATCAAACATTGACTTCATAATTGTTCTTTATGTGGTCTTATGTTTCACTTCATTGGGGGGGCCTATAAATATTATATGGGGGCACCCATATGAATTTGTTACTCATTAATAAAAAATTCAAAAGCCGTATGGGGTCAAGTGACCCCACAAGTCTCTACTATGGATCCATCCATGAATAGAATGGACTCAGGATTTAACATTCTCCAAGATATGGAAACAATGCGAAGATTTCACCATGAACAAGAATATAGAAAACATAACAAGTCAAAAATCTGGACAGAGGAAGAAAATTACAAGATTTTTACATGCATTTGTGAAGACATAATGCAGATAACAACAAAGTTCAAGCATGCTTAACAACTAAATAAGCAGATAACACATGAACTTCTCCACCAGTCAGTTCCAAACTAAATAACAAATGATTAGAAACATAGAATGACATAAACACGCGTGTTGACAATGTAATTTAGGATATTTTTAGTTCTTTGAATATTATGTCACTATGTAAGTTTGTGTGCCTAAGATTTTAGTCGTTAATGATCAACATGCATAATATGTTACATAAAATCATCAATTCATGTGTGTGTAAAAATTCGATCTCCCGTTTGAGGGGTCGTTTGTATTTATAAGAATGGCTTATTACAAACTAAGAATCAAACGTTTACAGACAGAGGAGAAGGGAATGACCCTTCTTGTTTAACGTGGGTTCGTTGGCAGCGGTAGGACGCCTCCCTCAGTGCTCGCGCCGAGTTTGCTTCCCTTGGACGATCTGATTGACGATGCGGTTGGATCGACGTTGCGGTTGGAGCTTCAGTACGCAGTAGAAGCTCGGTTGAATGAGTTCGACAGCCGAGCAGTTGCCTGATTGCTCGGAGCCTAAGTATGCTGAGATCTCAAAGTTCGGTCCTCTTCAGCTGAGGATTCGAACGAGATCACGAACAAGCTGATTGCTAAGGAGTTTGCCAAGAGCTAAGCTCGGTTCTCTTAAAGCTTAAGAGAACTGATTGCCCAGGAGTCAAATAGGTACGGTCTTGATCAAGAGTTCAAGACCCAAGTCACCCCAAGTCACCTTAAAAGATCAAGTCCCAAAGAAGGCCAAGATATAAGAGTTTGAAGATGTCAAGCTCTTCTCAAAAGAAGAATGTCAGCCTCTGGTCCAATACCTCTTTCATATAGCCAAACGTGGCTTATAAATAGCCAAGGACAGTCATGGCCACTCCCTTCAATCATGTGGAGGGGGTGTACCCACTCCCTTAAATTGTGAGAAGTAACCATTCTCATGTTGGGTATGGTCATGAGGATAACAAATACCTTAAATCAAGGGATTTGACTGCTCACATGCTTCAAGTGGGCGGCTGACAGGCTAGGCGAGCTGGCGACCCTGCAGGCGGGCTGGCGACCCTGCAGGCGACAGGCGAGCTCAGCCTTCAGGCGAGGCTGTGCAAGCGAGCTTGCCTTATGCAGGCGAGCTTCAAGCCTTCAGGCAAGCGTGGCCTTCGGGCGAGCCTGGATCATGCAGGCGAGCTTCAAACTATCAGGCGAGCTTCAAGCGTGCAGACGAGCTTAGGTCATGCAGGCGAGCTCCCAACTGTCGGGTGAGCTTGCCTTGTGTGCGCGAGCTTCAAATATGCAGGCGAGCTTCAAGTGTGCAAGCGAGCTTGGGTCATGCAGGCGAGCTCCCAACTGTCGGGCGAGCTTGCCTTGTACGAGCGAGCTTCAAATATGCATGCGAGCTTGGATCATAAGCTTCAAGCTATCAGAAGAGCTCTGCAGGAGAGGTTGTACAGGCGAGCTAGCCTTCGGGCGAGCCTGGATCATGCAGGCGAGCTTCAAACTATCAGGCGATCTTCAAGCGTGCAAGCGAGCTTGGGTCATGCAGGCGAGCTCCCAACTGTCGGGCAAGCTTGCCTTGTGCGAGCGAGCTTCAAATATATAGGCGAGGCTGTGCAAGCGAGCCAGCCTCATTCAGGCGAGCTCAAAGCTTGAAGCCTTCAGGCGAGCTAAACTCCTTTGCAGGCGGGGTTGCTCTTTAGGCGAGCTCCAGAACATGCTACGAAGAACAAGTCGTAACTTTCAAATCGTAACTCGAAATTGGACGAATTATATATGAAAATCGCCTATCTCGACGAGACGGGGCCAACCAAACCCCCAATGGGCTTTGCCACCTCCGTTTCGCTAAATTTCTTACGGTTTAAGAGATATTAGCGTTTTCCCATTTTTTGCTCTTTCGGGTGAGGTTTTAGCAGTCTTGTTCTGAACTTCTCTGATAGGGATTAAAGGTAATTTTTATTGCCTACAATGTGCCCCTGGGAAAATCTATCCTTGGACTTATTTTGTTTAATGCATTTTATTTGATACACTTGATTTGGGCCCACGTTTCAGAGATTTTGATTATCATGACTATGGATCTTTATACTGTCATACACTTGAATAATTGAACTCTTGTTATGTATTCCTAACAGCCTGGGATTGAATGATCATTGCTTAGCTATTTATATAAATGCAAAAATATGCTATTAAATGCACAGATTACATAGGCTTAACATACCTATGAGGGAGGAATCACTTCCTGTAGATACACTGCTATGATTTGCACCTCCTCTGCTTGTATTATGGGAAATGGGGTGTGACAAGTACATCTCAAAATTTATCTGTATAGAGCATTTTATACTATAGTCAACCGTCATCCCAATTGAATATTAAAAAGTTAATATGGATATAGATTGAAAAGCTTCTTTAAATCACCAACCTAAACAAATCTTGCTAAGATAATAAATAGAATGATGAGAACAATTAAACAGATGTACCTTTAGATAGATTTTTTTTTTACCTCAGATATTCCATCTTTTACTTCCTGGTGAAAATGAGGACGAGATTTTGAGTAGTGGATTTTCCTTTATCACATGCATTCTACTGACAAAAAACAAACCACTGATAGTAAGAAAAATAACTCTTTTCTGAAGAAATTTTCTACAAACTATAATTTTCTCCAATTGTCTAGTTTATTAATCCTAAAGTTTTTGTTTATATCAAAATCCAGAACACCTAAAATTAACATAATGAAAGTGTATCCAAATATGTCATTTATCATTCTTCCCTTGAATTTATCACAAATTAAGAGGGTTTTAATGAAACCACTCCTCTTTTGAAACAAATATCATTGCTCGAAGCAGAAGCTAAGCAATATATCACAGGCAACACTCAATAAAAGCATTATTATCGTCTGAAATGTTTAACAAAATTTTGTTTGTCAATAATGGGTAGTCAGTCCTTAATATTCAACATAAAATTGCATTTAGGAACAAGAGAATCACAAGACTTGTCAAAAAGGTAACATGAACCCATCAGGTAATTTACCTACAAAGTCAGATACAAAAGAGGGGTGGGGTGGGGGGCTTTTTTGGGGGCGGGGGCGGG